TGTTTTGGTGGTTGCTTGCGTTGTTTCGGTTGTTTGGTTGTTTGCTTGTTTATTGTGGTTTTGGTTTGTTTGGTTGGTTGCTTGTGTGGGTGTATCTTTTGGTTGTTTGGTTGTTTTGTTGTGTTTTTTTTGGTTGGTTGCTTGTTGTGGTTGTTGCTTTTGTTTTGTTGGTTGCTTGCTTGCTGGGTGTATTGGTTGTGTTTGTTTGTTGTGGTTTTGGTTTGTTTGGTTGGTTGCTTGCGTGGGTGTATTGGGTTGGTTGGTTTGTGTGGTTTTTGGTTGTTTGGTTGGTTTGCTTGGTGTGGGGTGTATTGGTTGTTTTGGTTTGTGTGGGGTTTAGGGTGTGTGTGTTTGCTTATACTGTTTGTGTGTGTGTGTGTGTTTTGTTTCTTTGTTTGTGTGTGTGTGTTTTTTCTTTGGTTTGTGTTGTGATTCGGGTTATGTGTTGTTGTTTTATATGTGTTTGTTTTTGTTTTAATTTTAGGGTTTATGTGTTTGTTTGTATGTGTAGGTTATGTGTTTGTCATTAATTTGTTTGTTTATGTGTTTGTGATTATTTTGTTTGTTTATGTTTGTGCTTATTTTGTTTGTTTATGTGTTTTTTGTTTACGTTTTCTTTGTATGTGTGTGATTTTTACGCCTGTTTCGTTTTTTGTGTATGATTTAGGTGCACGTTTTTGTGTGTGTTTGTTTTGTTTGTTTATGAGTAGGATGTATCTACGCACTTGTTTTGTTGGTTAGTATGTATATCTGCACTTGTTTTTTATGTGCATATGTACTACTTTGAAATGTGTTTTGCTTAAGCTTCTGTGTATTTATGTGTGCTTTCCTTTGTACTTATTTTTGTTAGTAAATGTTTATATTTGTGTTTAAGCGCACGTGTGTATGTACATATGCGAATGTCTCAAAGGACGATAGTAATATGTATTGAAATGAAAATTATTGTATTTTGATGACGTGTATTTGCGGTTTTCTGGTTGTAGTTGTATTGCCACACGCGCTTCATCACTGAATACAACAACATTAGTTCTCCAGTGTCAAGTATGACTATAAAGCCAGTGAGATATTTTGATGACAATCACGATCATATTATTCTTATTCGATTAAAGAAAATAATCCTTTAGTCAACTAAACTCGACAAACAAACTGTTAACTTTCATTCAGTAGTTGTTTCATTCAGTACCTTTCATGTTTTATCTACATCAAGAAGCCAGAACACTGCTTGGCGTCAACTTTTGGGCGTGTTTGGCGGGCAGAATGCAGCAGGTAATTTGTCTAGCATTGTCCATTCTGTACGCTCTCAGATGTGTTGAACTATATGAACTTTATTTCAGGTGGTACCAATAATGTTTGATCCAGCTGATTTTTTTGTTCCTTTTGGGGTCCCCGGGGGTCAAACGCAGCAGGAAGTCCCCGGCAGACGTCCAGTTCTTCATATGCCTTATCATTCTCTACATGATCCTGTACTCAGCAAATGGTACCAAGTTCGTTTGACCTTCCTTGGCTGCTGCTCTATTAGGTGTCTGAGATGTATTTTTAAGGCTCATGTTATCAAAAGGGGATAATGCAATGGTAATTTTACGCGGGGAACTTTTGGCTGGTTATTTTTTCACTGATTGAAGGCAAAGGAAAACTTGAGGGACTAATGTTTGCTTTGCATCTTCCTCTCTCGACTAAATATACCCGTAATGCAACATCTGAGGTGTTGCTTCGCCGTTTCATCTCTCGCAATCTCCAAACGTGGTCTTCTATTTCATTATAAAGGAGGTAGTATCAATAGCATCAATTTCTCAACTAAGCTAGAGTAGAGGATCTCGATTTTATGAAGATGTTCTCAGAAAGTTAGGCAGAACAGAGAACACAGGCGAAGGTACTGACCTGCTGTAAAAACTTTCTCAAGAATTCAATGAAGTATTTTCAGAAGGATTCGAGGGAGACTTCAGTTAATTCTATATAGGATTCATCACTTATTCCTCTTTGACACAACGTCTCCTGGAGAAGCTGAGCCAACTCTCCCTTGCAAGACAGTCAAATATTGCGTTCAGTTCTGCGTTACCATGGCGATCACTGTTTATCTATAGCATCAAGTGGTCTTCCTGTACCAGATCTCGAAGCGAGCGGAGGCGAAGATCAAGTAAAAAGTTCATCAGCAACGTAATTACATTATAAACTAGCCTTTACGACACGATATTCTGAATAACTCGTTTAACCGAAGTTGCTTCATGAAAACTGCGCCAACCCTCGCGCGATATAAACAGACCAGGAGCCGTGCTTATACGTACCCACGCACGGTATTCGCAGCTTATAATGGAACTGCTGTTTGGACTTGCCAAACGTACAGAGTCCATAAGGCATATGGTCCACGTGTGATAGAGAGAGTGACATACTCTTTGGTCTCATAATGGAAGCAAATTTACCCTTACCTTTCCTTTAATAGGATGGCAGACAGCGATGTACCGTTCAATAGTGAAGGTGACTGTCAGCCAAATGGAGGTACTAC